CACTCTCATTTTGCCTTTGCAAAGGCTGTACTCCATGCCTGGAATGTTTGCTCTCCTTACCTCTTGGAATCTAGGTTTTATCAGGGCTCAATTCAAATGCCACTTCCTACAGGAAGCCTTTCCTGTGCCTCTCTCCCAGATGCTAGTGGCACAAAGGATAGAGTGCCAGGCTTGGAGTCAGGAATATCTGAGTTCAAATCCAGCCCCAGTCACTTACTAGTTGTGTGATTCTGGGCAAGTCACTTCACCTCTGATTGCCTCAGTTTCCTCATCTGTAAAATGGGCATAATAATAGCACTTACCTTTCTGAGTTGTTGTGAGAACCAAATGAGATAATATTTGTAAACCACTTAGCACAGTGCCTGGCCCATAGTAGGCATTATATAAGCATTAACTATTATTATGGTTATTATTAGTGCCCTCCCTCATTAATGTCTACTTACTCTGTACATATTTTGAATCTATGCATATGTGTAGCTATTATTTCTCCCTATGAAATACAAACTCTTTCAGAACAGAGACCTTTGTTTTCATCTTTGTTTCACCAATGCCTGAAACATAGAGAGTGCTTAATAAATGTTTATTGGTCATTTACATGAACTTCTCATCTTCTTCCTTGTCTACAATGTCTCTCTGAACACAGTAGTTAAATGTTTTTCATTGAATTCAAATGAATTACATTTTTATTTGGATGCTTACCAGTGCCAAGTACAAGGCTTAGTATAGTGGAGGACACAGGGAGAGATCAGATCTGGTTCCTGCCCTGACAGAGTTCAGAGTCTAGTCGGGAAGATAGATCAGAGGTACATGAAGCAGCTCAGTAATGACTCCAAGCAGTCTGTGCCAAAGGCCAGGTGGGGGTATAGTTAGTGGGATGGAGAGAGAAAGGAGAGGTGCACTGTAGTGCTCAAGGAATCTTTCCTGGAGAAGATGGGAGTTGAGTTCAACCTTGCACAGGCAGAGCTAAGACAGCATGCTATAGCTGGAAGAACCCTGGGTGTGGAGTCAGGACAATAGGGTTCACAGACTACCTCTGCTATGTACTACCTGTGTGACCTTGGGCAAGTCACTTCTCAATATGCCTCAGTTTCCTTGTCTATGGTTCCATCCAGCTCTGAACTATGATCTCTATGAGAAGTCATGATGGCTTGGTCTTTCCTAGCCCATACTAGGGCACTTCAACATACCATTCGTGACTTCCTCAACATCCTGACTTCTTCTACTCAATTCCCATGATCTGTGTATTCCTCCACTCCTCCCCAGCTACACACAGATGTGATCATACCTTGATCTTGTCAATCCCACAAGTGTTCTTGCTATTTCCATGTTCATAAACTATGAAATTCTTGTCTCTGATGATAATCTTTTATTATTCCATCTTTCCCTCTCTGTCTCTAGTTCTTTGTCCTCATTGTGACCTCCAATCCTTCCACCCCTCATTTTTCCCTCTTCTGCACCAGCTACACTCTCCATCCACTATCTCTACCTCTTGGAAAACTAGTTCAACTCTCACTATCTTCTACGGGAGTCCCTTGCCACTTATTACACCTCGCCAAACCGCAACCTTGGATGGCTGCTTTCCCTGCTTTCATTCTTGTTCATATGGTGCTGAGCGAAGCTGGAGAAAATCACAAAACTGTGTTGATTGGATGGACTCCAAATTTGTTACATAGTCTCAACTGGGGCCTCACAGCGGTAAGGCAATCATTTTACACCCCCTGATTGATTCACTATGCCACTTACCACAGCAGCTATTCCACATCTTTTTGCTGCTTCTCAAGCGTGCTGTGACACTCCCTTCACTCCATTCTCTTAGCTGAAGATTTTTTTCTCATACTTCACCCTCCAAAATTGAGACCATTCAACAAGAACTCTTTCTTCTCTCCACCTCATATCACTCAGATATCTTTCCCCACTGGGGAAAATCAAGCAGACATCCCCCTCTATCAGCCCTATTCTTTAACTGATCTTCAATTTCGTCCTGTCTAGTGGCAGCTTCCCTGCTGTCTACAAACTTGCTTACACTTCTCCTATTCTTAAAAAGCACTCCCTCTATCTAGCCAACCTTCCTAGCTATTATTCTGTATCTGCTCCCTTTCAAACCTTAACGCCTTGAAAAAGCTGCCTACACCTAGCCCCTCCACTTCTTCCCTTAGTCTGGTCTAAATCCTTCGCAGTTTGGCTTTGGACCTCATCATTCAACTGAAACCACTTCCTCCAAAGTTATCAGTGATCTCTGAACTGCCATATCTAATGACCTTTCCTCAGTCTTCAAGCTCCTTGACCTCTCTGCAGCCTTTGGCACTGTCATTCACCCTCTTCTGAATATTTCCTTCTATCTAGGTTTTCCTAACGCGCTCTCTCTTTCCCCTGCCCATCTGACCACTCAGTCCCCTGGCTGGATCTTCTTTCAGGTCAGCCCACTAATTATGCGTTTCTCCCAAGGGTCTATCCTTGGCTCTTTCTTTTTAATACTATTGGACTTATTCATCTCATTGGTTCCCAGGGAATCAATTATCATTTCTATGCAGATGATTCTCAGATTTTTTTTTATTCACTCCTAAGTGCTCTCCTGTCCTCCAGTCTCACATCATCAACTCCCTCTTAGACATCTTGAACTGGATGGCCCATAGACATTTCAAACTCAACATGTCCCAAAATAAAGTCGTTATGCATCCCCCAAGGCCTCCCCTCTGTCGCCCTTCTTTATTATTACTATTTGTAGCATCGTCGTCCCGTTTACCCAGGACCACAATCTCAGCATCATCTTTGGTTCCATACTTGTACTCACACAACAATCTATCCAATCTGTTGCCAAGTCTTGTCATTTCTGTCTCTACGCTTCTCAGCTCTTGTCTACATTCCCTTCTCTCCAGTCCCACTGCTGCCTGGCACACACCTGGCACAGGCTCTCATCACTTCAAGCCTGGACTATTGAAATGCCTACCTCGATTCCCTCCCCACTGCAGTTTATCCTCTACTCAGCTGCCAAAGAGATTCAAGATCTGACTGGGTCACTTCACATACTCAATAAATTCTAGGGATTCTCTATTGCCTACTGAAGCAAATAGAGAGTTCTCTGGATTTTAAGGCCCTTTATAATCTGGACCCTTCCTATCTTTCAAGTGTTATCAACACTTGACTTTCCTTGACATACTCTTCAATCTACTGACCTTATTATTATTATTTCTCAAGCAAGATACTGCATCTCCCAACTCTATGTCTTTGTATTGGCTGTCCTCTATCCCTGGAATGCTCCCCTCCTTACCCACTCCTTCTAGATTCCTTGGCTACCTTTAACACTCAGGTTAAGTCCCGTCTCTGGCAAGAGGCTTCTCCTGGTCCTTCCTACCTCTTCCTACCTTCCTTCTGAGATCATCTCCCATTTAGACCGTATTTATCTCATATGTACACAGTTGTTTGTATGTTATCTACCCACTGGAATGTGTGCTCCTTAAGGAAAGGCAGTATTTTCCCCTTTCTTTGTATCCCTAGCATTTAACACTATGCCAAGCTTGTAGTAGATGCTTAATAAACGCTTGTTGTTTGATTAGCTGAATAGAAGAAGGAGGAAGAATGGAGGTAAGAAAAAGAGGAGAACAAAGGGCCAGAGGCAAGACTCTTCTGGTATATTGGAGCTAGAATGAATGAGGAGACCTACCTAGCTGAAATAGCATTACTAAAAATCAATGGTAGGAGATTAGTACCTCATGCTTCCATGATTCCTCCTGTTAGTGATGACTTGCCTTTTTAGACTAGGTGATGTCAAAGGCCCTTCCATGCTTTAAATCTCTCATCCCTGAGGTAGACAACCTCACAGAGAAATTTGTTTGTATCTCTCTAATTCACAGCTAATGACTGGCAATTATATAGCATTTCCAGGTTTGCAAAGCACTTTTCATATATCATTTAATTTGTAGGTGAAATTATTACCTCTATTTTACAGATGGAGAAACCAAGGATGAGAAGATAAGTGACTTTCCTAGGGTCACATGGCTAGTGGCCATTTGAGGCAGAATTCGAAATCAGACCTTCCTGACTCCGCCTCTACCGCTCCATGTATCTACACATCTCTTCCCTGGATTTCAGCAATGTGGATTGCATTGCTGGGCATATGCTCCAAGAAAGTCAAAGACTAAAAAGAAGCTTAAAAAAAAAAGATCTTATACATAGAAAAAATATCATAGCATGTGATATCAAAAGCCAGTAACTACATGGGTGCCCTCAGTTAGGGACAGCCTGAACAAACTATGACATATGAGTGTGTCTTGGACTACTATTGTGCTATGACAAACACCAGGGCAGCTAGATGGCATTGTGGATAGAGTATGGGGCCTGGAGTCAGGAAGACTTGTCTTCTTGAGTTCAAATCCAGTCTCAGACACCTACTAGCTGTGTGACCCTGGGCAAGTCACTTACCCTCCTTGTTTGCCTCAGTTTCCACATTTGGAAAATGAGCTGGAGAAGGAAATGACAAACCACTCCAGTACCTTTGCCAAGGAAATTCCAAATGGGGTCACAAAGAGTCTGACATGACTGAACAACAAATAAAATAAGAAATGACAAAGATGAGGAAGATTTGTAGGAATGGCTGCAGAAAGAAGTGAACCAGGAAACAACCTATATGAAGACTACAATAAAGTGAAAAGAAGGTTAAGACAACGCTGGACACTCTGTCATTATAATAAACAATCCTAGCAGGGGAGAAGCAAGGAGGCAATGGACCTTCCTCCTTTCGCTCCGGGCAGGGGAAAGAGAATGGCTAGAGAATGTTGCAAACACTGTCAAATGTTACTGTGTGGGTTAGTTTTGTTCTGTTTTCCTTTGTTACAAGGGAACACTGGCTAGAAAGGGGGAATCTGGAGGAGGGGTAGATTGAGAAATGACTATCATGGCTTCAATACAATTTTTTTTTTTTTAGATAAGAGGGTTGGACTAAATGATCATTAAAGTTTTTTCTAGTTTGTTCTATGCTCTGTGTTCTAAGATCCTTTCCCGGGTTGGTCCTAGACGTTCTGGTTCTGGTCCTAGATGCAGCAGGTTCCTGAGAGGCAGACTGGGCTCAGAGGCCCACAAGAAACTACAGGCACCACACACGGCGAACAATGGCCAGTATTGCCCCTTTGCCCCACTACTGTCAGTTACAGCTGGGGCACGGTGGAGAGAGATGCAAAAATTATCATCAAGCTTCTTCCCCTGCAGGATCCAGTGTGGAAATATCTAGTAGCTATAGTTTTGGAGTCAGAAGACTCGAATTTGAATCCTGGCACTTTCCATCTGAGTGGCCTTGGGTAAGTCAATGAACCTCTCTGGGCCTTACTGAAGTGAGGCACTGGACTAGGTGGCCTGTAAGGTCCTTTCTAACTCCAACACCTTGACCCTATGTGTCCTAAGAGCAGGTTTGGAGTTAGAACACCTGGGGTTGAATCCTGGCACCACTTACTACTACATTTATGATATGGGATAATTTGTTTCAACTCCCCGTGCTTCTGGTTTCTCATCTGTAGATGACATGATTACATGTTACATGATCTCGGAGTTCTCTTCTACCTTTCAGTGCTGTGATTCATGAGCTTTTGCCACGTTTAGCTGGCCTCATACTCCCCTCCTTCATTATACGCTGGTCATCTTCCTACCATGCTTACTAACAAGTACCTGTCCTTCCCACAATCTTTCCTTCTCTTGGTCAGGGAATGGTAATCACATCAATCCCTCCATTCCTGCAAAGGGGCATGTTAATCAATCCCCATATGACTCCAGTCACCATCCCTGTGACTTTTCAGACCAAAACACCCCTTCTCGGCTATCATTCCCCTGTGGGTTTTGTCTTCCCCCTATTAAAATCTCAACTTCGTGAAGGCTAGCTTTTTGTAAGCAATGGCACGCATAGAGTACTTAAAAAATACTTTTCATTCATTAATTTATTAATTTATTCCTCTTCATGCATTTCTTTGTGATTACTGTTATATATCTGTGTCTTATTCCACCATTAGATTGTGAACCCTGTGAAGACACAGACCATGTCATAACTAAACTTTGTGCCTGCCTCAGCATCCCAGATGTCTGTGCACAGTAGGTGCTTCGTAAACATCTGTTGTTTTATGGCATTGCACCAGCCCTGGGCTTCCGTTGCTTCATAGAGAAAAACCCCGAGGGCTAGAGATTTCCAACCAGTGAATCTTAGGCATGTTTACCCCTGTTCCTCAGTTTCTTCCTCTGTAAAATGAGGGAATTAAACTATGTGGTCTCTAAGATCCCTGCCAGCTCTGAATCCTATGATCCCATGATCTGGGGACTTGGCTCAGGAAGGGAAGCTGCTGTGTGTGTGTGTGTGTGTGTGCTTAGCTCCTTGGCAGGAAGGGGTTGAAAAGACAGAGAGATTGAAAACAGATTATTGGGAAGAAAACTATTTCTGTTTCGAGACAACTGTCTCTGCTGCTATTGGCTCTGCTCCCAACCATTCCCCAGGCCTGACGCAAGGCTGGCCAGCAAAATCCTTTCCTCCTGGGGTTCGGTGGGGGTGGAGCAGGAAGGCTCCCAAAGCCGTCAGGTGCCTGAGGGTGGCACGATAAGGCTGTGTTTGAGAAGAGACCCCAGAAAGGTCTGGGTCATACAGAAATCCAGCATGTCAGAGCTGGGATCAGCTAGGCCAGCCCCCTTCTTTTGCAGATGAGAAAACTGAGGTCCAGAGAAGCTAAGGGACTTACCCCAAGGTCCCACTACTGGCAGGTCAGTGGCAGAGCTGGGATTTGAACCTAACCAGATCTTCTGCCTCAAAAACCAGAACTTTATGCCATCCCTCTATCCTTTCCTGCATAAACTCGGCCTGACTGGGACCTGTCAGCTACTTGACCTCCAGTGGGAAACCCTCCTCCCTAGCAAGCCAGATCGGACCAGCCTTGAGAAGGTTGGCCAGAAGGTCATGCCTGGGGCTTCAGGCCCCTACTGTTACCTTCCTCACTCTTCCAACCACCTCCACACATACCCCAATGCTCACACAGGGAAAGGAGACCACAGAGCAGAACTCCTGCAGATCAGGCTCCTGGGAGCCTGAGAAATCTCCAGTTTCAGCTCTTCCTCCTTCCTTCATCCTCTCCAACACCAGAATTCCCATGCAACTCAGCTTCTCTGTCTAGAAGCAAGCATTCTAAGACCTGAGGACTTTTTTTTTTTAATTTGCAAGGCAATCAGGATTAAGTGACTTGCCCTGAGACACACACCTACTGTCAAGTGTCTAAGGCTGGATTTGAACTCAGGTCCTCATGACTCCAGGACTGGTACCCTATCCACTGAGCCACCTAGCTGCCTCAGGCCTTAGAACTTTTAAAGACAAGGAATTATGGTCTAGTGGGAAGAGTTCTGGTCTGGCTCCTGGTCTCATTTCTGCCATATCTTTCTGTGTGACCTTGGGTAATTATTTTCCATCTCTGGGCTTTAGTTTCCTTAACTATGAAATTAGGGGTTTGGATTTGATGGTCCCTAAAGCCCCCTCCAGCTCTGACAGTCTATGTTCTAAGTTCTCTTCTAGCTTAGCTCTGATATTTTGGGATTGGATAGATTCCTGCTTCATGGAGGATTTTCTGTTTAAAAGAGAAGGCAATGCTTAACCCCAGGAATTAAGTGTTAATGATGGAATTCCACACATCACTGGGAAGAAATATTTTTAGATGGGAGTACCTTCCTCCCACTCTGGCTCCTCTTGTCTGTTGGCCTCTGGGGGAACCTTCTTCATGTGAATCAAAATCTGTGGAAATGCCATGGAGAAAAACCCAACAACCTAAACTTGTCAGCAACAACGATTAAGTAATGGTGGTCTTGCCCTCTTCTCCCTTGCAGGAAACCTGGGCTTCAGACTTGCAGAACTAATATCCAAGATTTCCTTTGATCTGTACAGCAGATGTGCTCATTACTCCCATTGGACAGATGGGAAAACTAAGGTCTCTCTTTTATTCTTTAGTCGATTACTCATATGACTCTTTGTGATGCCATTTGGGATTTTCTTGGCAAAGATACTGAAATGGTTTGCTATTTCCTTCTCCAGTTCATTTACAGATGAGGAAACTGAGGTAAACAGGGTTAAGTGACTTGTCCAGGGTCACACAGCTAGTAAGTGTCTGAGGCCAGATTTGGACTCAGGTCCTCCTGACTGCAGGGTCAATGCTCTATCTGCTATACCACCTAGCGGCTCTCTACAAAGGCCTACAAAGGTGGAATTACTTATTCAGAGTCACCCAGTAAGTAGCAGAGTTGGGCCTAGAACTCCTGTCTTTCTAGTCACAATCTCATGTTTTTTCTCCCTTCCAAGTATTCTATTCTCCAGTCTTACTGGACAACTCTCTGCCTCTCTGAATACACTCTGTGGTCTTCAGTGTCCAGGCCTCAGAAAGCAGTGTGGTACAGGAAAAAGATCACCAGCCTCAGAGTCAGAGATCCTGGCTTTGGATTCTGCCTTTCCCACTTACCACGTGACCCAGCTGCCACTTCCCTGGGCCTTAGCTTCCTTAGCTGTAAAATGAAGGGATTGGACTAGATGAGATGGTCTCACGAGTCCCTTCTAGCCCTAAATCTATGAGGCTATGATCTTTGCTCACTCCCTTTCCCATACTTGAAATCTGTTCTTTCCCTTCCTTCCCTCTGCCCCCTGCTTTCCCTTCTCTTCTTGGCCTGCTGTCTTGGGCTTATACTTTAAAGCCCAACTCAGGACACCTTCTCCAGGAAGCCCTCCATCCTTGATCCTGGCTCATAATGAGAGTTTAATAAATAAAGAAAATTTATGAGTTTATTTTTTTAAAATTTATGTAATTTATTTAAAAAAATAGTTTCATGAAAAGCTTCACGTTTGCTGCTCTCCCAGACTTTCCATAGCACTTTTTTTCTACACCCTGCTCACTTATGCACTGTTGCATATTCTTGCTATCTATGCTAGTGTCTGTCCTTTGGACTATTACTGCTACTGCTGCTAATCACTGACATTTGTGTAGCACGTTTAAGATTTGTAAAGCACTTTTTATACATGATCTCATGTGATCCCCTCAGCTACCTGTGAGATAGTTCCTATCATTTTTATCCCACTTCACAGAAGGGGAAACTAAGGCTCAGAGAGGCTAAGTTATCTGTCCATGGTCACATAGCAAGTGTGGGAGGCAGAATTCAAACCCAGATCTTCCTGACTCCAAGCCCAGTGCTAGATCCATCAAATGCCAACTAACTGTCACCCACAGGACAGGCAAGTCAGCCTATTTGAATCAGCAAGGCACCCTGCGAGAGAGACAGGAGGAAGCATGCGCCAGGCAAGTCAAACCACCTTTTACCACCTTGACCATTATTTCTCCTCAGACTGGGATGGAGACAGCTCAGAACCCTGAAACCAGAGGCTTAGAAATAGCAAGGCTTACAGCTAATGCCTGCAGCCATCAACCTGGAAAGCAACCCCGTGGAGAAGTAGCCTGGCAACAGCTCCTGCAGGTGATGTAGCCACATCTACAGAAGATCCGAGGGCAGCTAGGAGGTCCAGGGATAGAACACTGGGCTTGGAGTTAGGAAGATCTGAGTTCAAATCTGAACTCAGACACGTACTAGCTGTGTGGCCCTGGGCAAGTCACTTGACTCCCATTTGCCTTAGTCCCTCATCTATAAAATGGGGGCACACTGGGCAAGGAAACTGCAAACCACTCCAGTATCTTAGCCAAGGAAACCTCATGGGCAGAAGGCCGTGGGGTCATACAGAGTCAGATCTGACTGAACAGCAGCAACTGAAGACAGAAAAGGAAGTTCTCAACTCTTGACCAAAGTTCTTGACTCAGTCAAATGCTTCAGCATCAGAAACTGATATCATTTATATGCAGAAATGATGTTAAAGGAGGTGCCTCATTGTCTACTTTGCTGCTGCACCATAAGGATCATGGGACTCTTTCATTTGATTTGCAACTGAAACCTTCCATATGTATTGTCTCTTCCAGTAAAATGTGAGCTCCTCGAGAGGAAAGACTCACTTAATTTCCTATTTGTATTCTCAGTGCTTTGCGCATGCTAAGTGCTTAATAAATGCTTTACTCATTCCTTCATTCCATGCCATCTCTACTACTTGAATTTCTTGAGAGCAGAGAACATGTCATCTCAACTTTTTGTTTCTCCAAGGGCTGTGTGTGTGTGTGTGGTTCTACACACAGTAGATGGTCAGTAAATGTTTCTTCTGTTCACCCACACCAAAACTCTTTCTACCAAGCCATGTGGAATGCAGACCCTGCACCAGAGGGTGCTGGGCCATCCATCTAAATTGAGGTCATTTATCAGCACCCCCCACAAAATGGCACATGGATCCCTCCTTTCCTGGGCAGGGGGGGAGTGTATGTGGGCATGAGACCCTGAGTCTACTCCCTGCACACACTGGATGCTCAAGAAATGGGAGAGTGCAGGCTACAAGCGTGACCTGAAGGAGAATGCTTAGAGTTGTAATTTAGAGCAGCCTGGGGAGTGGGAGGTGAGAGCCAAATCTGGAGGTGAATGAGAAGTTGCAGAGGTGGCCCCTGCCAGACTGCCCTGGGTGTCACAGCCAGCTTCAAGCAGTCATGCAATTTGGCCTAAGATCAATGGAGTGTTTTGGGTCATCTCTTCTAACACCTTTGACTATTTCCTCATGAACCCTACTAAGGAGGGGTTGAGGACGGGACACCAGCCAGGCTGACCTTGGTCGGCCCTTATATTGGCCCTAAACAACAGGAGATTTACTCACTAAGAATCTGGGGTTCAGAGGTGTTAACCAGGGCTGACCTTGCACAAAATTGTAGCTGTGGAATGACACTAATATTTATAAGATATTTTAAGGTTTTCTTTTCTTTTTTTTTTTTGTCTAGGCCATGGGGTTAAGTGACTTGCCCAGGGTCACACAACTAGTAAGTGTTATGTCTGAGGCTGGATTTGAACTCAGGTCAGGGCTGGCGCTCTCTCCACTGTGCCACCTAGCTGCCCCTGATATAAGGTTTTCAAAGAGCATTACATATATCATCTCACATTCACAGTTCTATGAGATAGCTGTTGCTATTATTACCCTCATTTTACAGTTGAGTAAACGGAGTCCGACAGTTTAGATGACATACCCAGAGTCACATAGCTAGTATCTGAGGCTGTTGCTATATGACCTTGGACAAGTTGCTTCTCTTTGATACTTATTTTCCTCATACATAACATGGGAAATAATAGCTGCCTTATCTTACTCAGTATTGTTGTGAGAAAAAATGCTTTATAAATCACAGTCCATTAGAAATGTGTTGTTTTTATTATTACTATATCTAACCCAACCCAGCCACCCAAACAAACTATGCCCACACTCAGCACCAGTCTTCCTCCAATAGTAATCAAATCAATCCATTGCTTCTGGAAAGGGAAAATCATTCTATGACTTTGTGGCTTGACTCACCAGCCCTGTGGCTTCACTGTTTCCTAGCCCCCACTCCCCTAACTATGCCCTCTCTCCCCACCACCCCACCCCCAGAATGTAAGCTTCTTGAGGGCAGGGATTGTTTTACTTTTACATTTCTATCCCCAGCACTCAGCACAATGCCCAGCACATAATAAGCACTTGCCTTTTCACATAATGATGATGTATTTTTTTTGTATTCTGTAATTCTGTGAACCCTCTGGATCCTCAGTCTTTCTCCTTCCGAGGCAGGTTGGAGAGCAGAGCCGGGAACACCACCACCCATCCCCCTGATGAAAGTTTAGAGGCCAGCCAGGCCTAGCTCTAGAGCATTGCCTCCTTGGAGCTTGGTAGGGGGTCTCAAGAGAGGACAAATTACAGCAGAAGTATGTCACCTCTGGACATAATGGCCCAGGGGCTTTCAAACAAAGGCCATGAACCTCTGTCTCACTCCGGTCCCATGCAAAGAGACAGAACACTTTCCCAGACAAGATGACCTTCTTCGTTTGTTATGAGAAGAGATTCTTTCTGGAGGACGTGATGCTGGATACTAGGAGCTTGGGTTCCAGGCCTTAACTCACAGGAATGTAGAGAGGAATCTCCAGGCTTTAGCCTTGCTCCTCCCTAACACCCTGCTCCCTCCCCTCCCCTCCTTAGGCAGGAGCTCACAACCTCCCCCTCCCTGGGGCATTCCTCCCCCTGCAGAATTCTGCCATCACAGTGTTATTCCAGGCAGCTCTCACAGCTCCTTTTCCAGAGAACTTTTCCTTCAGAGGACAAAGGATTATGGGGAATCCAATCGAAGGCTTCCCCAGGGCAGGCTGAGAATGGCCCCAGAAGACCACATGTCATGGATTTAGCACCTGGTCAGTCAGTCATTAAACATTTATTAAACATCTACCATGTGCCAGAAACTACGTTATGTGCAGGGGGACACAAAGAAAGATAAAAGATAGTCACTGCTGTCAAGGAGCTCACAATCTCATGGGGGAGGAAGCCTAAGAACAGTTGTATACAATATACTATATACCACTGTATACTATAGGTAAACTACAGACAGCCTAGCTTGGAAATAATCCACAGAGGGAAGGCACCAGAGATAAGGGGGATCTGGAAAGGCTTCCTGTGAAAGGCAGGATTATAGCTGGGACTTGAAGAAAGCCAGGGAAGCCAGGAGGTGGAGATGAAGAGGGAGCACATTCCAGGCACAGGAGACAGACAAAGAAAATGCTGGGAGTCCGGAGATGAAGCATCCTGTGCGAGCAGCAGCTGGGTGGCCGGTATCATTGGATGGCAGAGTTTGTGTGAGAAGGTACAAGGTGTAAGGAGACTAGGAAAGTGTGTGTGTAGGTGGGGGGCAGGTTATGAAGGGATTTGAATGCCAAATGATTTTATGTTTGATCCTGGAGGTGATAGGAACCATTGGAGTTTATTGAATGTATCTGTTGCCAAGAGGAGTTAACACAGACAGACTTGAGGTTTAAGAAGATCACTTTGAGGGCAGCTAGGTGGTGCAGTGGATAGAGTCAGGAGGACCTGAGTTCAGATCTAGCCTCAGACACTTACTAGCTGTGTGACCTTGGGCAAGTCACTTACCCCAGATTGCCTCCCCCTCGCAAAAAAAAAAGTCACTGTGACAATTGAGTAGAAGATGGACTGAAGTCGGGAGAGACTTGAGGCAGGGGAACCAACCAATAGGCCACTGTAATTCAGTAGCTAAGGCAATGGGACAGTGTCATTCTCCATTACCCAAGATGAGCTCTTTGGAAGAGATGGGCCAAAGGAGCACTTTTCCTATATGAGGCACCTGGAAGCAGGGGCTGAATTAAATGACCTCTGAAAGTCTCCCAGGTTGTGGCTGGCCCAGAGTCATAGTAGACACTTTTCATGCCCATCACTGAACTGGAAAGAAGAGTCTACATTCTTACTGGACTTCCTCCTTGAAGGTTTTATCTGTCTTTCAGGGGTCAGATTCAAAGTGTGGTAGGCCAGAGGGTCATAGATTCAAAGTTGGAAGGGACTTTGGAAGCCGTATAGTCTAACTCCATCATTTTATACATTTTTTTAAAAGGCAATTGGGGTTAAGTGACTTGCCCAGGGTCACACAACTAGTAAGTGTCAAGTGTTTGGTCTGAGGCCAGATTTGGATTCAGGTCCTCCTGACTTCAGGGCCGGTGCTGTATCCACTGTGCCACCTAGCTGCCCCCTCAATCATTTTACAGATGAGATTACAAGTGACTTGCCCAAGGTCACACAGTTAGCAAGCAATCAAAGCAGGATTTGAACCCTAGTCCTTTGACTCCAGAGTCAGTCAGTGCTCTTTCCACTATACCATACTACCTGCAAGTCATTGAACCCTAGAATTTAGAGCAGGAAAAGACCTTAGAGATCCCCCATTGTAACTTCCCTTATTTTATAAATGAGGAACCTCCCTCTCAGAGAGCTGAAGTGATTTGCCTAAGCTCACAAAGGTACTGTAATAAGTAATCATGTCAGGATTCAAACCCACATCTTCTGGCTCCAAATCCATTTACTCCCAGGCGCGGCCGCCCTTGATCTTGCCAATAACTAGGTGTGATGCTACCTTCAGCATCTCTCACCCCCTTAGTTCAGTTCTCTGGCTTCTGTACAGTGAGGGGAGGTGATAGGAGCAGAGGCAGGAGGACATAGGAGGAAGGGGAAGATGAATCACTCCTTCTGGCACTAGGGCAGACCCCTGTCCAGGCGTGGATCCTAGTCTGTTTCCCAGGAGCCTACAATGTTTTATGGCTGGAACATCCTGGATCAGAGGCACACTATGCTCACAATCCTATCTGCTCAGGTCAAGAACGCATCATAAGCCCTGGCCTGGCCTGACAGTGAGCCCGGGAGGGCCAAGGGATTGAAAGACATAGGATGTGAGAGTTGTGGAAAGGACCTTTGACTCTAGAACATTCTAGAGGGAAGGAATCTAAGAACGTTGTTTTTTGGACAAGGCTTATAATTTCATTGGCAAAGGGAGCTCCTAAGGAGGGGAGGCTCTCCACAAACAGATATCAGCACCTCCTTTGCAATTTATAGTCTTAGAGAGTTTCTTCAGCGACTTGCAGGTAGTATGGTATAGTGCAGGGGTGCCTCAAGGCCA